TTTTGGTTGCTCTTGATTGGCTTCTCACCAATCTTGGGTCAAGTGCTTGTATATGATTTTGCTTCCTTCACAGTGCCAACCTAGTTGGGATTGTTGAGGTTAGCTATGATGGTCTGTGTACTTCCTTGATTTGTTGATGTATTTTTGCATGTACTTTGCCTTTTTCATCAATAAATCTTTTATTTTGCTGATAAAAAAAAATGTACTCTTTCAGATTCGTTTAAAATACGCATTATTTTTTATGATTTGAAAAATTATAAATATCTTATTGTCAAAAATTTTTATTTAACAAAATTAGTTGAAAAAAATGAAATTCCTAACTGTTTCCTATACAATAATAAAATTATTTGAATTATTAATTGAAATAAATTTTTAACATCATTAAAAACTATTAATTTACTTAATAATTTATTAATAAAAATGACTATTTGTTATGAAAATATAAACATTAGAGGACAAGATGTAATTTTTAAAATCAGAAAAGACAAATCGTATTTTAAATAAATTTTAAAAATTTTGTTTATAACTTACCCTAATAAAAATAAAGTTAAGGGAATCATTGAAGTACCTTGGGGTATATTAAAACCATGTTGTCTCAAAAGCCTAAATTGAAGAGCTGTAGAATGTAAATCCTTATTGTTCCACTTATTATCATTTCTGATATTGTCCAACACTCTCTTTATTTCATCCTCAAAGTGATAAAACACTCCAAGCCTTTGCAAGTCATCAATCATCTCAAGTCCACCCAATGGATCCACCACTTCTGCAAGCATTCTCTTCACTTCTTCCTTCAACTTTTCAGCACCCTTTACATATATATCTCCCTAAAAAAAAGTATTAATTAATGTTAGCAACCAAAACATTGCTTCAAATGAAACACAATTTAGAAAGTAAATAAAATTAACAAAAATCATATATATACCACATATTTACTATTTAGTGACTGCAGAGAGTCATAGTCCCAAATGGGAGGTTTATAGTTGGCAGTTCGCCTAACAATCGTCTGATCACAAGCTTGGCTCAAACTGATGCATCGAACGGTGCGCAAAGCTCGGCCATGATCAATGAAAGCAGCAGATTGTGATGATGCACAACTTTGAGATGGTAACCTAGTTGACGTGTAAAGAGAAGAGGTTAGAACTACAAGTTTAAGAAGAGCAAGAGCCATTGCAATGAGTTTCTAACAAAGCTGCTGCTGATGCTGCTGTTGTGATTGTTTGCCTGTGTAACAACCTCTATTTAAAGGAAAGGAAATGGGTTAATTACACTTCTTTTTTTTTTTTTTTTTTGATCGGCAAAGAAAATTTTATTGATGAAGCACGTACAGGGTACAATGGAAAACATCAATAAAGGGGAGGTAGGAGCTAGATGAAACTCAAACCTCCTAGTTGGTGAGAGACCAACAAAAAGAGAAAGCAAAAACAAAAAACACTGCAGCAAACCAAATTCTGCTAAGAACAGAAACAAAAAACCCTGCTAAGAACAGAAACAAAAAACCCTGCTAAGAACAGAACACTGAAACAAAAACCACTGAAATCAAGCACTCCAATACACAACCAAAATACTGCAGATTACCACTGCAATGCACACCCGAAGCAGCCAAGATTTGGACGAGGCAAATTTTCGAAGACACTGCTACCAGACCTTCAACCGAAGCAGAACCAACAGAACAATGCAGCAGCTCTGAACAAGCATATTTCAGCCCAATGCAGCAGCTTAGAGCAGATAGCAACAGCAGACAGACAATTCAGCAGCTTAGAGGTAATGCAAATGACAGCAGAACAAGCCTACTTCAGCCCAGATATATGTAAATCAGATTCCAAAACACTAATTTCCACCCCTGATCTGTCTCCAGTTGAAGAGAAGATCATCAACAGAGTAGGGGAAGTCCTTTATGGAAGCTTTTAGCCAAACTGCAGATCTGAATTTGATGAGTTCGAGAAGACCTGGCTAGTGACCTTGAGCCACAACATATTGAGATTTAAACTAGAGCCATATCAAATCTGAGCTTGATCCTAACTGAGTAGGGACCAACATACCAAGCCACAAATAGCGCATAGCAGCCACAAAACAAAATTTGAACTTGGCAACTGAAATTTGAACAAAACTGCATAACACCTATCATCCCACTGCACCTTCTCATAGCAATTAAATTTCATCCACTCTGCAGCAGCCACATAACACCAATCTGCTGGTGCATACCCACTGCGTAAGGCAGTCCAGCAAAATAAGCTTAATATTAAGCTTAATATTCAGCAGTCCATAGCAGCCATCGAAATCCATTCCTACACCAGCAAATAGTAGCCATCCCCCTGCAGATCCTCTCACAAGCAAAGCAGCATATAACAGAAGGGGCAGAACACAGAACGCAGACCATTAACCTGCATCCAAAACTGAATCCACACAGCAAAATTCCAAACTGGATCCGCCTCAGCTGCAATGCTTAATCTGATCCATATTATTAATTAATTCCATGGTAGAGTACATGAATCCCTTAGAAGATGCTTTAACCCACATAGAAAATCTGAACTTGATTGTCTCACATAACTCAGACCCACATAGCTGCGCTCCATTAAACATACAATCATTTCTAAACTTCCAAATGGACCATAGAGCAATAGATGGTAAGGCTCTCCACAATCTCCTAACCACTTTCTTATAATCCCAACCTATCCACCAATGAAATAGACAATTAATTGTCCTTGGCACCACCCAAATACACCCCCACCATAGCATTAGGTTAGACCAAACTTGCCAAGAAAATGGACAGTGTAATAGAACATGAGAAGCAGATTCATTTTCATTTTTGCAAAAGGCACATAAGATAGATGCATTACTATTAAGGACACCAATATGTTGTAAAAAATCCCCGGTTTTAACTCTATTCCTCCAAGCCAACCATCCGAAAAACTGGACTTTGGGGGGAATACCATTATTCCACACAAACTTACAAATTTTGAGTTGAGGGCCCATACTAGCATCATTGAATCGATAAAGATCAGAAACCTTGAAACTACCACCAAAAGAACCATTCCAAATAGGATAATCTTCAACATCAACCCTCAAAGATGGAGCCACCCCTAAAATTGCAGCCATGCTAGCAACCTCCTCCTTCTCCCAATCGTATAAATCCCTTCGGAAAGATAAATTCCACTCCTCCTCACTGGATTTTCTTGCTGAATAACAGGATAGCGTACCATCCTTATCATTTGACAGGCTAAAAAGTCTAGGAAACTTGTCTTTAAAACATCTATCACCGACCCACTTATCAAACCAAAACTTGATTCTGCACCCATTACCAACCTTTATCTGATACTTCCCCAAAAAGAACTCCACAAGATGTGGATTACGACCAGCAGTTGCAAGAACATTGCTCCAGATTCTAGAGTGAATAGATGATGAGAGCACTGGTGGCATCCAATTAGCCTCCTCAATCCTATACTTGCTGCACAACACTCTTCTCCAAAGGGCATTTACCTCACTACCGAATTTCCACCACCATTTAAGAATCAAACTGTCATTGACATCCTTGATTCTCCTAATCCCCAACCCACCTTGATTCCTATTTTTTGATACTTCAGCCCACTTCACCAAATGAACTTTCCTCTTTAAACCATTCCCTCCCCAAAGGAAAGAAGCTTCCAACCTTTCAATCTCTCTAACCTCTCCAAGAGGCATTTTAAACAAAGATAGATAATAGATAGGAAGGCTAGATAAAACGGACTTAATCAGAGTTAATCTACCTGCAAAGGAGAGGAGCCTTCGCTTCCACCCAGACAGCCTAGATCTTACTTTATCCAACACTGGCTTCCAAGTAGACTTCCTACCTGGATTAGCACCTAATGGCAGCCCCAAAAATTTAAGTGGCATGCAAAAATTTTCCATCCATCAACAATCTCATTAGCAATAAAAACACCATCCAATATACTTCGCCCTCCCAAGAAAGAAGATTGTGTTTCACCAATAATAGTAGGAAGAACTCTCTTAAGTCTATTAGACAGAACCTTGGAGAGAATTTTGTATATACTACCCACCAAACCAATAGGCCGATAATCTGACAGTCCAATGGGGTTATCAGACTTAGGTATAAGAGTGATAAATGAACTGTTAAAACCATAGGAAAGCTTGCTAAAAGCATGAAAATCCTGCAAGAAATGCATAACCTCGGGATGAACTATCTTCCAGAATTTCTAGAAAAACAACAAATTAAACCCATCCGGGCCTGGAGCCTTATCACCACTACACTCCATAACAGCTGCCTTAACTTCATCTACAGAAAATTCAGCTTCCAGAGCATGGAACGCAGCACTTTCTGAAACTGATTTAAAGGTACCACCCAAAACTGGTCTTTTTTCCCACCTTTCAGTGTATTGCCACTTAAAATGTTGTACAACCTCATACCTTACCTTCTCTGGCTCCTCAAACACTTCTCCTTCTACTGTGATGGTAGAAATAGAATTTCTACTCCTTCTGCTGCTAGCCATAGGATGAAAATACTTAGTATTTTTGTCTCCATTAATGGTCCAGTTTACTCTAGATTTTTGTTGCCATAGCCATTCCATCATACGATTAAGCTTCCAAACTTCAACTCTCACTTCCTTTCTTCTGCTCCTCTCAACCTCTACCAGAGGTCTATCTTCAGCCACAATGTCCAGCTCAACCAACTCCTCCTCTGCCTTCTTGAGTTTTGTAACAAGATTCCCAAAAACTTCAAAATTCCATTTTTTCAGCTCCACCTTTAGAATTTTCAGTTTCTGAAACAAAACATACCCAGCCCTCCCAATAATGCTAGATTCATGCCAAACCTTAGCCACTAAAGAGGGAAAACTAGGATGACTAGTCCAAGCATTAATGAACCTAAAAGGCTTAGGCCCCCAATCCCTCACGTCATCCATTAACAAAATAGGGCAATGATCAGAGAAAAGCCTAGGAAGACCCCAAACTTTGAAATTATACCTCAGCAGCCACTCCGGATTAAGCAGAATTCTATCGATCCTACTCTATTTCTCTCCATCTTGAGCATTGCACCATGTGAACTTCCTGTCTAACAAAGGTAGATCATGCAACTCACAACTCTCTATGAAAGAATTTAGATCCCTCATTCCTTTATCTCTTCTGGAACAGCCCACCCTTTTGCCAATATTCCTAATCTCATTCAAATCTCCCCCCAAACACCATGGTTTTGGGAACTCAGATTTTAACTTGAGTAAGGAATCCCAAAATTTGCATCTGCTACCCACCTCATTGGGGGCATATACATTCACAATCGTACACTCAAAAGTATTTAACAAAATACCTGATAAGAGAACAAATCTTCTATTACTGCAACAATCCACCAGCTGAAAAAAATTTGGGTCCCAGATACAAAGAAGACCCCCAGCAGTCCCTTCAGAACCCACAGCCATAAACTCCATGTTTCTCTTACCCCACAAAGCTCTAACAACATTCTCAGTAATAGAAGCTTGTTTTGTCTCCTGAAGAAGCACAATATCCACCTTTCTTTCATAGATGAGCTTCCTAATCCTTCCCCTCTTTTCTAGCTTCCCCAATCCTCTAACATTCCAAGACATCAACTTCATTAGAAAACAATTTTAATACCATTCAGACCCCATAGAGAGACTCAATGCTCCTATTCTTTCTTCTTCGTCTTCCTCCTTTCTCTGTGAACAACTTCTAGGTCCACCATTTTTTCCAGAACTTCAGCCTCTTTGCCTTTATAGTTAATGCCCAGAATTTTCCCCAACTGAATGTTTGCTTGTGCCTCACTAAAGATATGGCTTCTATTTCCAGAGTGGCTCTCATTAGAAGCAGATAGTGACAAAGCTGCAGCAGCAGCCCTAAAAACAACGCATTTAGGGGAGGACTTGCTTGATGATGCACCTTTATGACCATACAAACGAGCAAGGTATGCATACCCACTGACCTCATTAGCTGATTTTGATGCTCCAGCAAAACTTACCTTTCTTTTACCTTTCCTTTTTGGCTTCTGATCATTAATTCTGCTGCTTCTAACTCCATGTGGACTTGTTTGCACTGTAGGCATGCTGGGTCTTTTAGGAGCCCAAATAGAATTAGTTAATCCATTAGGTTGTATATTTGGACCCCTCACTACAATATCAGATCTATTGTACTCCACTGGACCATATAAATGGCCCAAATTTACTTCAAGGCTAATACCAGGCCCATGAACATCAGCCCCATTTAAACTCTTAAGAAAGCCAGGTGTACATAGCTGCTCCTCAATCCTTAGATTGTCATCATTAGCCTCAAGGCTACTCTCTGCCACCGCCACCTCCATACGCTCCTCAACCACCAAGTTGTTCCCCACGCCACTTGTAGTCTCTTCAACTATGGTGTCAACCGGATTGGTTTCCAGCTCAGCTTCATCATCTTTATCCTCCACAACCAGATTATCAACAGACTTATCTTCATGACCCACCCCTACCGAATCTTGCTTATCAACCTCATTAGAGTTACGGTCTTCCACCCACTCGCTGGATAATATGCTTCCACTGTCAAAAGAAATATGTGGTTGTTCTTCACAAACCAAAACTGAATGGATTCTCCCTTTACATTCCAAATTAATAGTCTGGTTGGTAAACTCCATACAGCCCGTTGCAATTCTGACTCTGCCATGGCTGAAAGTCTCAGGTTGACTGATATTCCCATCCAGACTTAGAACACTGCCCCACACGCTACCGATCTTGTTAAAGGTGCTTCTATTCCACATGCTCAGGGGGACACCGTAACATCTAAGCCACATGCACCTTTCTTGCTCTGCAGTAGCGTCTGATTCCCAGATTTTAATAGACTCACACCAATCCTTGAACCATTCTTTAATCGACAATATGTTAGCCAACATATCCTCTTTAGACAAGAAAGTCAAGACTACTTTCCTGCCACCTCCCTTTCTAGCCAACACATGTCCCAATCTGTTCTTTTTAAGCACCATCTGAATGCTTTGCAAAGAGTACTCTGTCTTGAATTTCAAAATCGCACTCTCAAATAACCAACCATGTCCTTCTTCATTTACCTTAATGGTAGACGCTATTTTGTCCATCGGTGTATCGATTCCGTCTTTGACCACATCCGCAAAGGATCTCTGTAAACCATGACGAGCTCGATCAAACCTTCCCCTACCTTCATGTCCACCAAAAATCCCTCCAAATTGGTTTCTTTTAACTGATCTATCTTCGATTCTTCCATACTCTGCCACATTGACTTTAAGCTCTCTATCCTCGACCCACAATCCGTTGGCTTTCTGGACAGCGATGTTCGCCGCTACGGAGCAATCAAATCTAACAAAACCAAATCTAGTGTTTGTGGCCTTCCTTCTCTTCTGTGGGATAAAAACATCCCTCACTACTCCAAACTTTGTGAATAGTTGAAACAAAGCTTTAGGATCCATCTTTTGCGGTATATTATCCACAAAGACAGAGAATAAACCTTTTCTTGCCTCCTTGTTCCATACTTCTCACCTTTTCCTATGATTCACTACTGGGATCCACCCGCCTTGCTCCCTCTCGATATCATTCTTCATCGCCATCGATTTGAGAATGCCTTGCAAACTTGGTGAGACAAAATTTTAACTTCATTAACAGTAGATAGGTAGAATGATGACATTGTAACTTAATTTAAAATATAAAAGGTTGACTATCAATCACAATTGAAAATAAATAGACCAAAAATAAGATTACGATGAAAGTGTAAAGGTGATAAGTGTAATTAACTCAAAAAATAAAAAAATAAAAATGATACAAATGCAGAAAGGGTCTATCCGATTTAATTACTGCTGAATATGACATTATTACTCTTTTAAGAAAAAGCAAATTACATTTTATCCTTTATGTATAACCATTTTCTCATTTAGAAATAAAAAATTTATTTCTCTCCATCACCTCCTCCATGCAAACCGAAGCAACACACACTCCTCAAAAGAACTCTACTAAAGTCATAGATTTCTTATTTTCTCACATTTTTCCTTTTTTTTATAAGATTAAAAATATAAAAAATTGAAAGAATAATGTTAAAAATATTTTTCATATGATTAAATATTAATATTTTCATATTATTTCTCTCTCTCTCTCTCTCTCTCTCTCTCTCTCTCTCATTGAGGTAAATAATTTTTAAAATTTTTTTTAAAAAATTTGTGTTTATTTTTTTAAATTAGTTTTTCTATTAAATTTCAACCAAAAACATATGATGATAGGATGAATTGGGTTGATATTAATTGTGTGAATGTATTGGTTTAGACAGAGAAAATAAAGAGTGAAATGTTTGCCGAGTATGTATTATAATAATGCAATGTAACATGTGAGGTAAAAGAGTGCTTGTATTGTATTGTAATTTTTATTTATTTATTTATTTGTATTGCTTGTCCTATAATTATAAAAGTGAAAGTGACCGCGTATGTTGCTTTATTAAATAAAAATGTTGTTGAAACAAAGTGGGTGTTCGGGAAGTTGTTATTTTAGTAGATTATTTTAGTTTTTAACTATTTTAGTAAGCTAAAATTTTTGTATTTGGAAAGATGATTAGATTTTTTTGTAATTGGATATGATATTTGTGAGAGAAAAAGTGAAATGATAATGAATTTGATGTGACATTTTGTTTTATTAGTTATTTTAGCTTATTTTTGTCTTTTTGTGAATTTTAACCTAAAATAAGTTAAAATTTTTCTTGCCAAACACCCCCAAAAATATATATAAGTTAATGTAAATATATAAAGTCTTCAGATACATATTTAAGATAGATTGTGTAATAGGTCGGTTAGTTATCGAGAGTTTCTATTTACACACGGTATAAATAATTTGACCATGTTTATTTGGCTCCATTCTAGGGAGTTTCTATTTACACACGGCATAAATAATTTGACCATGTTTATTTGGCTCCATAGAATGGAGGGAATTAAGGGTTTGGTGAGATTGAGTGAGAAAATTATTAGTATGGTGGTATTAGGTTGGAGATATAGGATAAAAAATGTTTGTTTATATACCACCGGATTAGTAATATTATAGATAGTATTAATATATAAAATTAATATATTTAATTTTTAGTACTTTTTTAATATTATAATTATTTTTTTGAAAAAATTAGTCTAAGATCCATTTCCCATTTTTAATAATGAAAGAGATCCATGGTATTATTTTATGATGTCTAAAGTTTCTCAATCTGTAAAGGAGTTGCGAGAGAGGATGAGACGGTAAAGATGGTGATCCTACCACATGATCCAAGCCATTTCCAGAGAGTACACTGGCCGCAAAGTCTCTGCCACAGACAGACTCCAAGGCCGAATCCCCACTGTCGTGGTAGCCCAATACAACGGCGGCCACACCACCACCACCACCACAGCAAGTCAGCCTGCAGAAAACACCTCATTACCACCATGAGGAAGCAGATTCAGGCCATCCTTAACTCTGTTCAACTCCCCTTCTTCTGCTCCACCACTTTTCCTCCCCAGATCCGCACTGGTTCTGGTTTCTCTACTCTCCTCGAATCTGGTACTGTTCTCTCCATCAAGATTCATAAGGATGAGGAGAGTATGGGAAGATTTTGAATTTGATATTTGTTTGGGCTAATGAGGGATCGGAGTTGAAGATTGATGTGTCGGTTGTTTTCAAAGGAGAAGATGTTTGTCTTGGTCTTAAGAAATGAGGTACTTTAAACAGGATAGGGACTACTTTAAAATATCTATATCCAGCTGAACACATCCTCTCCAAAATTGAGGTGGACGTAAGCAATCTAGACATTGAAGATAAGTTGTTCATGCACAATATTGAGGTTCACCCATCGCTAAAGCTTCTCAGTAAAGATGAGAGTATTCCCATATGCAAAGTTGTGGCAATGACATTGGAAAACTCTGAACCTGCACTGTAGGCACCGGAGCAACACGATGCAAGGAATTTGCAGTTTTCACTAGCCCAGATCAAGAATTTTCAGATAATGAAATTCGCTTAGCTATTGTAGTGCTTTCGGATGCCCAGTGAAAATGATTATGACTTTTGTTCACAACATAATCAAATGCAAGTTAGTTCTTCTTTTTTTTTTTTTTTGGTTGACGACTAGATCATTTTTGCTGTTATAATAAACATGTAGGGTGGTGTGAATTATTGTGAAATGTTATTGAACAATTTTAATGAGATGACTATTTCAATGGGACTCCATAGATGCATATCTTCGACCAGGCACATATTATGTTTTCTTGGTGGGTTTGTCTTTCACTTTTGTGCATAACAATCACTGCTTTTGCTTCGTGTATTGGATTGAATTTCTCTGATTTGGACTAGAGAAATTCCCTGGTTTGAACTGAATTTTCTCTAGGTTGGTCTAGAGAAATTCTCTAGTTTGGACTGAATTTTCCCTAGGTTGAATTGAATTTTTTCTGCGTTGATCCAGAGAAATTCTCTGGTTTGGACGGAAGTTTCTCTAGATTGATTTAAGGGACTTTAGATATTATGAAAATATTGGATGTCATTTATGCTATAAAATTTTAATACCAGGGACTCTAAAAAAAATCCCCTATTTTTTTTTTTTTTTGGTTCTAAAAAATATAATTTTGGCTTAAAAATTA